GGCGGGATCCCCAGAGATCCAGTGGATCGGCGGGATCCCCAGAGATCCAATGGGTAAAACTGGACCCCAAGAGATCCATTGGATCGCCAGAATCCACTGGATCTCTGGGGATCCCGCCCGCACTCGTTCGTACCTGCTCTTGAAACTCTGCACTCTGGATCCAAACAGGATCCAAAGAGTGGTTGATTTAGGCATTTGCAAATATAAGAAAATACTGATCGGGAGAGATCTAGCTTGAAGTGTTCTTTTGGTGATTTGATTTCCTTCTGTTCGGAAAGCACACCGAAGAGCGCGGGAGACCGGGGTGAAGCTGCCCAGACAGTTGTGCGGAGGGGGCCGGGGGCCTGCTGGCTCCGTGCTCCGCTGCAGGGGCTCCGCGCCGGGATTCCCAGCTCTCTCCGGCCTGCTGCTGGCCTCCTCGCTGAGCCAGCTGCTCCCGGCCTGGCGGATTACCCCTCGGCACCTCGAGCGTGGCGCTGTCCAATTAGGCCCGGCCCGGGTCGCGGGGTTAAGAGCATTGATTAGGCTGTGCTAATTTAGGGATCTGCGGATGAGGCGGTAAGGAGGGAAGATGGGTGCTGAAGGGTTTGGAGGAGAGGGAGAGATCGGGAGAGGGCGTGAAACGGGCAGGAGGCTCGTGGGTGTGAGCTGCACAGCTCGGAGGCCCACGCGGTCCACATGCTTCCACTTAACCCTTTATGAGCCATGTCTGGAGCACGAGCACCTTGAGGGTCTCCGGTTTCCTCTTTCTCGTCCTGTTCGCTCCGTAAGTCCCTCCTAAAGCTGCTGGGTTTTACTGTACCCCCCTCCCAGCCCTGTGCATTTTTCTGGAGCTGCTCACACCCGGCCTGTCTGGTGTGTTTCCACGCCTCTCCCTGCTGATCCTGCAGCTCAGCCAGCTGTCCTGCACTCTGGTGCGCCCTGGTGCAGCGCGGTGATGTGGCAGCTGGGTTGGCGGTGTAGTGCCTGGACTCTGGAGGCCCCCCCCCTTTAAAAAAAGGGACCCGTGACTCAGTCCTGACACCTTCAGGGCCTCGGACCTGAGCGGCTTTGGGCACGAGGAGGTGAGGTCGGGCAGCAGGTTTGGAGGTTTTCTGGGGAGGGGCCGGGGGCGAGGACGTAGGGCTTGAGGTCACGGGGAGGTATCTGCAGGTCAGCTCAGGATGGGGCAGCACCTGGCCACACAGAGGCAGAGATCAGAGGCCACTCGGCCCCGCCGTCTACCGAATCTCTTAGTGTGCAACAGCACCTTGTTGTAGCTGATTTTCTTCTTCCTGCTCCTTTCCTGATCACTAGCTGGGAGCTGGGATGTTGTTGTCTTCCCTGGGTGGAGATCTTCTGTCTCCCTCATTTTGAGAGAGGAGGCTCCCGGGTGCTCTGATGTGGTTGACACGCTGTCTCCTGCTTATCCCAGAGACCAAACTCGTACCCCTCCCTCCCCCCCTGCATACGCTCCCACCCCTCCAACAGGGCTCTTGCAGAGTGCAGGAGCTCTTTCATGGCGCATGTCTGTGTGTGGTGTCTGTACCGCTGTCTGCGTCTGACTGAGGACGTTTCGGTGCTCTTGGCTCTTGTGCATGTGTGTGCACACTCTTGTTTTAGCTTGCGTGCACTGGACGTCCTCACTCTTGCTGGTGTGTGAGTTGATTGTGCACACTCTTTGTCACTGTGTGTGTGCACTCCTCTCAGCTTGTCTAAGTGTCTGTCTGGGTAAGTGTGCCTGTGTGCGCACTCTTTATGTGTGTGTTGTCTGTAAGCACTCTCGTCGCTGTGCATGTGCTGCATGCGTGCTCTCTTGTGTGTGCATACTCTTGAGTGTGCACACTCATGTCGGGGTGCGTGTGCACTCTTGGGTGTGCACACTCTTGTCGGGGTCCGTGTGCACTCCATGTAGCATGTTTACTCCATTGTACTTTTTGGACAATCAGTCTGTATAAACCTATGCACATTTTGCACATATTTTATTGTTTTTACAGTGACTATGATCAGCACATTTTGCACATGCACCTATGTATTTATTTTTATTTATCTTGTTTGTCTTTTGTTTTATAACTATTCTGATGTCTGTTTTGCTTGTCTTGGGCTGGACTGCTGTAACACACCAATTTCCCTACGGGATTAATAAAGTCTTATCTATCTATCTACACTCTTGTGTGTGCATGCGCTGAGTGTGCACACTCTTGTCGGGGTGCGTGTGCGCGCACTCCTGTCAGCTTGTGTGGGGGGGCAAGCCGGCGTGTGCAGAAGGAGTGCTCCAGTTGTGCGTCATGGAGTTTATTTTGTAGAGGCTGTGTCTGCGCCTCTTGGCTCCTGGCCTTGTCTGTCTGTCTCCCTGCAGTTTTACTACAGTGCGTCTGTGTGTGGCTTCGGAGGCAGGGTGAGGTTTGGGCTTTTGTAATTGGAACGCTGGCAGGCCGCACACACCAGGGACGCAGGTATTTCTTGGCAGATGCTGGAGAGGATTCCTGGTTCCCCGCAGCTGTGGGGAAGCAGGAGGGAGGGGGGAGGCTGGGATGAATGAAGCTGCCGCAGTCACAGAGCTGTGGTTGAGCTGTCCCTGCAGCTGGGGCTGTGAATGGGAGGAGGTAACCAGAGAGCCCAGGCTGTGGGGGAGGAGGATTGACTGCCTGATCTCTCCCTGGGAAGAACTGGTGTCGGATATTCAATGCCTGGAAAGCGTGTTAAACTCTGAAGATGCAGCACTGTCAAACAGCATGTTGCTTACCTGTGTCTTGCAGGCTGTGCTCCCTGATCCCCAACAGTCTGGATACTTTTTCAAACTGTGAAATGACTAAATAAAACAATCCTTTTTTGTATTAGTTTAAAGCGTCCCGTTGCACAAACCGCCTACGGCAGTCCCCTCTGTACCTCATTTTTCACGATATTTTCTGAGATGCGGGCCTTGTCTTCTGCGTCTTTTTGGAATTATCCGTGTCCCGGGGTTTTGCGAATTTAAAGTGTTGAAACGAGGTGCTTGATCTTTCCTTCAGCAAAAGAGCGTTTCTTCCCCCCAAATGAGAGAGAGCTGTCCGGTACTGACAGTGTTCATGGCTTTGTCTGCTTGTGGAGGACCGTGTCCATACCGGTGGCCCTGGGACGGCTCGGTCCGGTCCCGTTCGCCGTCTCGCGGATACACCTGCGAGTGTATACCTGCGCTGCTCCCTGCTTTCGGCAGCCAACGGGAAGAGCTGCAGCAGAGAGAGGGAGTCACTCTGGCTGTGATCTGCTTTTTAATTAATTAAAAGACGAGATGTGCCCGCACTGCAACACAGGGGTTCTGTCCCTCTCTCCCTCGTTCACTCTGTCCCTCCTGTTCTGCTCCGCTCCTCCGGCCCGACCCGTGTGCTGTCTTTCCTGGACCCGGTAGTGTTGCAGAATGAACGGGATTTCCAGCGTTGTGCATCTTGTGCGGTGATGGGTTGACTCTGATCTGTGCTGTTGTAGCTGTGCTCTCCTGAGGCTTGTTGTGTGTGGTGCGATTGCCATTGTTGTGTCCTGTGCTGTGATGGATTGACTCCGATCTGTTGTGTTTCGCTGTGCTCTCCTGGGGGTAGTTGTGTGTAGTGTGTGTGATTCCCAGTGTTGTCTTGTGCTGTGATGCAATGACTCTGATCTATGCTGTTGTAGCTGTGCTGTCCTGGTCAGGGGGGCAGATGTCGGTGTGGCTCAGATCAGGGGGAGTTTCTGCCCCCCTCCCTGTTATTGTACTGGATTTAACCAGTCTGTGCCAAACTCCCCCACTGCTCATTGTGTTAAATATCGCACCGGTTTTTCGTGATCACCTGAGCTGTACCCCACACTCAGGTGTGCTTGTGCCTGCTCCGTTTTGTGCACGGCATTGTGTTGTATCCGTGTCAGGGCTGTGGTCTGAGACTGGACCCTAGCCGGGGTCTGGTTCTGTTCTGTTGGGGCTCGGTGGCAAATTTGATCGTGCCGGGACCTGTCACCTCCAGGGCAGTCGTGATCGGAATGTGCGAAAAGACAAATTCAAGGAACTGTAAATGGCCAATAAAGTGATCCGATCTTGTCTCATACCTTGCCACCGTGTGATTCTCTGCTCTGGAAGAGGTTTCGAGCAGGGAGCTGCGAAGGAACAGGGGAAGGTTTATTCCCTGCTGGCACGCAGCGTTTCGGCCGGGGAGCTTCTCCGGGTGACCGGCGGCCGAAAGGTTGTGCCCCTTCTCTTCCAGGAGGGAACAGCGCTTCTCCTGTGCCTTTGCTGTCCTGTTTTAGGGACGCAGCCTGTCCTCGGATCCCCTCCCCACATCCCCACCTCTCTGACCCGAGCTTTGTTCTTCTGTGTTCATTCAGGACCCGGAAAATCCAGATCCGAAACATTCCGCCACACCTGCAGTGGGAGGTGAGTCCGAGGTCCTGGGGGGGGGAGGGTAGCGATGCCTGGGTTGGGCGGGCTCAGGTTAAAAAAATCCTACTACTGGGAGGGGGGCGGGGTGTCGTGGGAGGGGCTCAGAAACGGAGGCATCCCCTCTGCACCCCGGGGTGCTGTCCCCCCCCGCTCACCCACTCTGTGTTGTTCCAGGTCCTGGACGGGCTGCTGGCCCAATATGGCACAGTGGAGAACTGCGAACAAGGTAGGATCTCTCCCTTCCTCCCCATCTCTCGTACCCGGGTTCAAGCCCAGAGCCCTTGTTACCTCTGAACGCCACGGACCTCCTGAACTTGTTAATAATAAGAATTGCTCACGCTTCTATAGCGCTTTCCTGGACACTCCACTCAAAGCGCTGTACAGGTCATGGGGATCCCCTCCACCACCCCCAGTGTGCAGCCCCCACCTGGATGATGCTCCAGTCTGCTCACCACACACCAGCTCTCAGTGGGGAGGACAGCAGAGTGATGAAGCCAGTTCAGGAATGGGGGTTATTAGGAGGCCATGATTGGGAAATTTAGCCAGGACACCAGGGTTACACCCCTACTCTTTTCAAGAAACACTCTGGGATTTTTAATGACCACAGAGAGTCAGGACCTCAGTTTTATGTCTTAATATGAAGGACGGTGCCTGTTCACAGTATAGTGTCACTACACTGGGGCATTAGGACCCACACACACAGCAGGGTGAGCGCCCCCTGCTGGCCCCACTAACACCTCTTCCAGCAGCAGCCTCAGCTTTCCCAGGAGTCTCCCATCCAGGTACTGACCAGGCTCACACCTGCTGAGCTCCAGTGGGCTGCCAGTTGTGAGCTGCAGGATGATGGAGCTGCTGGTTACTCCGACTTCAGGAGCACTGGTCTCGATGGGTGGACTGGCGCCCCTAAAAACCAAGAAAAAGTCACCCCACTACGCTGGCTCATCGCATTGACTGTTTCCTTTGTGTTTAGCGCTTTATAAATAAGCCCATAAACGCTAGTGCCGAGCCAAAAAACAGTACCAGTAAGAATCAATGTGGCCTTGTGCTTTTTGCTGGAAAACATGGCTGGTCAGTGACCCCTTAAAGAAATGGGGGACAAACCAGTCGATGGTATCTGGGTTCAGAGGTGTTTTCATTTGGGGGGGCAGGGGGTCAGCTGAGCGCGTCGTGACGTGTTGTCCTCTCTCTCAGTGAACACGGACAGCGAGACGGCGGTGGTCAACGTCACGTATGGCACGCGGGAGCAGGCCAGACAGTAAGCCCCTCGCCCCGCCCTTCATCCGGGACCCGCGCGTCCGCGGGCGGCTCGCGTGCTTCCGCTGCGCGAGCTGCTCGCTCGCTGGCAGCCCGAGAGACGAGGATGAAACGAGCCGCCATTTTTTTCTTTACAGCCGACATGGCGGTAACCGTCATTAACGTTTACGCCGAAAACCGCAGCAGCCCTTGGCGGTGAGCTCTGATGGGCGCTGGCTACAGCGGACCAAAGGGTGTGGTGAGGTCGTGGTTCACACGGAGAGGCTAAAATATTGTGGAAATCTTCAGAGGAGATAACTGCGATGAATGATACATTAGAGATAAATGCAAGGAAAAATTAAAAGACCCAGCGTCAGCACCCGGCACACCTGACCCCTCCCACTGCCGGGAGCGCGCAGCAGCCGCGCCACCTGCTGGCGTCTCCGCGTACAGCAAGATGGCCGCGGGGCTGCGCTTTCTCGCTGCACCGACTGCGACACGTCGCCTCTTTTGATTAGAACTGTTGCTGTTCTTTTCAGTGCATTGGTATTGTCGAGGCAGCCCCTTGTTATGACAAGTTTGGCGATGGGTTCCCCAAAGAACGTTAGCAGTGTGAAGGGGAGGAGGTCGCTGAGCCCACCCAGGCTGGCTGGGCGGCAGTAACTGCCCCAGCCGAGGGTGTGGGCTTGAACAGCACAGCTGAGCCCCCGGTGTAGAGAGGCGCCACATGCTCCTTCCTCTCCTGCCCACCTGTGCTCTGGGGCTCCTGTTTCCACTGTCGGTCCGCTCGAGATTTTTTTTGTTTTGCAGGTGCCTTTCCAAATCTAAAGTATTTCAGATTCTTTCAGAACACCCCGTTAAGCAGAGGAATACAGTCCATTGCTCATCTCCAGAGCAGCAGCATTTTTAATCACACGATGACCGAAATTCCAAACAACATTCTAGATGAGGTCTTACAAGCTCCTTGCACAATTCTGACATCCCTTGATTTAAGCTTTTTTAATGCTTTCCCATGTGTGACCAAGAAGCATAAAAGACACAACACAAACTCTACAACATAACATCACTTTATTAGCCCTATACAATTTCTTGCATTAGGAATTTGTTTTATCGCATACCCCAGCTTGCTCTCCCAGAGACGCACAGACGGGGAGAGAAGCTTCTGACAGGGTCAGAGTGCAGGGTCAGCTATTGTACGGCGCCCCTGGAGCAGCTGGGGTTCAGGGCCTTGCTCAGGGGCCCAATGGAGTAGGATTTCTCTGCCGGCTGTGGGATTTGAACCGGTAACCTTCCAGCCACAGGCGCAGATCCTGAGCCACAGAGCCACCGCTCCGGCAATTACAAGGCTAATTGGTGTTTTTAAATCACCTGTGTTGTGTGTGGGATTACATGTGTGTGCATGTCATTGTGTGCATGAATGTGATTGTTTGTGATGTGTGCGCGAATGCGGTTGTGCACATGTGTGTGTGTCTGTGATTGTGCCACGTGTGTGTGCAATAGTGTTCAATCCGGTCTTGCGTCCTGTGCAGGTGACGAGTGTTTTGCAGGATGAAGGTGTGTTCTAACCCTCTAACTCCGTCCCGTCTGCAGGGCAATCCAGAAGCTGAATGGCTACCAGTTTGAGAACAACGCTCTGCGCGTCTCCTACATCCCGGATGAGCAGTCGGCCTCCCAGGGCCAGCAGGGCCCCGACAACGGGCGGCGCTCGGGGTACGGCAATCGCGGGGGTCCCCGGCAGGGATCCCCGGGCGCCGGAGGACCCTCCAAACACCAGCACGCCGACATCCCTCTGCGGCTGCTCGTGCCCACGCAGTACGTGGGAGCCATCATCGGCAAGGAGGGCGCCACCATCCGCAACATCACCAAGCAGACCCAGAGCAAGTGAGTGCGGCGCTGGGGGGGGCGCTGGGGGTGGGGGGCTCTGACCGCTGCCCGTGTGGCACCCGAACAATCTCGGAAGGCTGTGCAGCAGTTTCCTGAAAGTTACGGGCTTTCCACATGTGTGGCTTGGCTGCCCGTTGCAGCACAGACATGCTTTTCCTTCATGGTGGAGGGCTGTTATTGTGTTTTTGAGCTGATCCATTACAGTTCAATTGTTTCCGCTTTCTAAAAACCGTGGATTTACCTGTTGCGCTAAAGGCACGCTGGACTGGAGGTTCCCTGGTAGCAGGGCTGGGGATGCTTCCCAGAGCCGGATGAACAGCACAACACCGCCACCTGGTGGTACGTGTATGGAAACAAAGGATTGGAAGAAGCTGGGTGTGAGATTTACAGGCCGATCATTGCCAGCCCGAAGCAGGGACCCAGAGTCTACAAAAGGGCTGTTATTTACTACATGGGCTAATGAAACAAAAGAGTTTAATGAATTGACTTCATTACTCTGCTCTCTTCCCCACTGAGAGCTGGTGTGTGGGGAGCGTTCTGGCGCACTATGGCTGCCGTTGCATCATCCAGGTGGGGCTGCACATTGGTGGTGGTGGAGGGGAGTCCCCATTACCTGTAAAGTGCTTTGAGTGGAGTGTCCAGAATAGCGCTATTTAAGTGTAAACAACTATTAATTATTATTATTAACTTTGTTACACATCCACACCCTGCTTCTGTAATCGGTATGACTGGTGCTCGCCGTTTTTAAAAATGAATTCCTGACAGGTACGCACTAGTTTGGGCTCTGGACTCATTACTGGAAGGTTGCAGGTTCAAATCCCAGATGGGACACAGTTGTTGTATCATAAAGCAAGATACGTGGGTCCAGTTGCTCCAATAATATGTCTGACTTTATAAGTGGGTACAAATGGAAGTGGCACCGATACTGTAATATGAGCTAATTAAGGATAAAGAAACTGTTCGTTCTTGAGAACGGTCATCAGTACATCTCTCCCAGTGGAGAGAGACAGGCGGGCTCTGGAGCTGTTGGTCAATGACGAGAGATCATGCACCACGCTGACACAAGGGTGATGCACTCAAAACAACGATCTGAGACTGACAGCCTGTATTGGGCTCAGATTGGGCTGGAGTTTCCTGTTCCCAGCTCGGCTGAGTATTCCCTGAGAGGGTCCGCTCTCCCAATGCATCGTCTCCGAGGGGGCGTGGCCGTTGTGGCTGATCGTGGGCTCCTGTGCCCTCAGCTTGTCTATAACCTGTTTCTTGCTTTTCCGATGGTCTCCTGGTGCCCGACTGTCACCAATGCTCTCTGTCCCCCTCTTTCAGGATCGACGTCCACCGCAAGGAGAACGCGGGCGCAGCCGAGAAGCCCATCAGCATCCACTCCGCCCCGGAGGGCTGCTCCTCTGCCTGCCGGATGATCCTGGAGATCATGCACCAGGAGGCCAAGGACACCAAGACGTGAGTGCGGAGCTGCTCTGGGCTGTGCGAGGGATACTGGTGGGGGAGTGGCCGGCTGTCGTGCAGAGGGGTGTGAGAGCTGACGAGCCTGTCTGTCCCCTCAGGGCGGATGAGGTGCCCCTGAAGATCCTGGCTCACAATAACTTCGTGGGACGTCTGATTGGGAAGGAGGGGCGGAACCTGAAGAAGGTGGAGCAGGACACGGACACCAAGATCACCATCTCCCCGTGAGTCTGTCGTGAGGGACTCCCTCTGCACCTGTCTGACTCTCCTCTCTCTCACACTCCTCTCTCGCTCTTCTCCTTCTCTCCTTCGCTCTCCTCTCCCTCATTCACCTCTATCTCTCCCTCGCTCTCCTCCTCCTCTCCCTCCCTCTCCACTCCTTCATTCTCTTCCTCCTCTCCCTCATTCACCTCCTCGTCTCCTTCATTCTTTTCCTCCTCTCCCTTGCTCTCCTCCTCTATCTCTCTCTCCTCTCCCTCGCTCTCCTCCTCCTCACCCTCACGCTGCTCTCCCGCCCCTGTGCCCCAGGCTGCAGGACCTGACCCTGTACAACCCGGAGCGGACGATCACGGTGAAGGGCTCGATCGAGGCGTGCTGCCAGGCGGAGCAGGAGATCATGAAGAAAGTGCGGGAGGCCTACGACAACGACATCGCCGCCATGAACGTGAGTGGGCGCGGGGCCGCACGCAGCGGGGGCGGGGGCGCGTTCTCGCCGAGCGTCGTGGGGGGTGCGAGTTTTAACACTCTCTTTCTCACTCCAGCAACAGACTCACCTGATCCCCGGGCTGAACCTCAGCGCCCTGGGGCTGTTCCCCCCTTCTTCCGCCATGCCCCCTCCTCCCCCTGGCAATTCGGCCGCTGTCGCCCCCTATGGCTCCTATGGGGTAAGTGCACCTGCTGACCTTCGCTGTGCAGCCGGACAGCAGGATTTGAACAGGAAGTGCATATAGCTGCACAACATGCCTGGCAGCCTCTTGTACTTCTTACTGTGCCTGTCTGTGCCCAGGTAAATATTTAGGGATCTGAGGTTCTGAACAAGCAGTAAAGCAGATGCATTTGATCCTGTGTAGTAGTAGTAGTGGTGGTGGTAATAATTCCTTACTCTTGCGTGTTTAGCACTTTTGTAGACACTTCACTCACCCTGGAATTTTTAAAGACCACAGAGAGTCAGGACCTCAGTTTTACGTCTCATCCGAAGGACGGCACCTGTTTACAGTATAGTGTCCCCGTCACTATACTGGGCCATTAGGAATCACACAGATCGCAGGATGAGTGCCCCCTGCTGGCCCCAATAACACCTCTTCCAGCAGCAGCCTGGTAGTGCATGCTTTAGCTGTGCAGGAAGCTTTGGGATGTGCATGTGGTCCTCGTGAAGGGGAAGCAGGCAGGAAGCACTGCGCCGTGACCCCCCCACCCCCTGCGTGACGCTGCCGCCCCGTGTTTCCCAGCAGGCCCCGGAGCAGGAGACCGTGCACGTGTACATCCCCGCGCAGGCCGTAGGCGCCATCATCGGCAAGAAGGGGCAGCACATCAAGCAGCTGAGCCGCTTCGCCGGAGCCTCCATCAAGGTCAGTGCGGGGTCCCCTGCTGCCAGCAGCTCCGGCCAAGTGGGACTGGGGCTCCCCACCAGCTGGGCCGAGTGGGTGTGGGGTTCCCCGTGGATGGGGCGGCCAGTGGGAGGCGTCCTGCCTGCAGATTGCTGGGAGTTTCGGAGACGAGCAGCTCGGACAGGCAGGCGTGAATGTAGGTCTTCCTTCTCCCCGCCCCCCCCCCCTCCCCTTGCAGCACCGAGGCTGCAGACGCCTGGGCAGAGCAGAGCCACAGGCGCTCGGCCACCCCAGACCGGCAGAATGCAGCACGGGGGGGGAAATCTGCCCTTCCGGACCTCAAAATAGAAGTCCCGAAGACGGAAGGTCACAGCTGCAAGGAGCTGTTTTGTTTCTGAAAGGTTCCAGGAGATCAGCTCCGCCCTTTCGGCAGGGCTGCGCTTCCTACACGCCCACCTGGGCTCCAGGTGCTTTCAGTGCAGTGCAGTCTCCACACCTGTGTCTGGTGCCCGGGCTCCACTCTGCCTGTAAGATGTGTGTAAGAGGAGACACTGCAGTGGCACTCAAACCCCCCCCCCTGTCTGACCCCCCCAGATCGCTCCTGCTGAAGCGCCAGACTCCAAGATGCGCATGGTGATCATCACAGGACCCCCCGAGGCCCAGTTCAAGGTAAAAGGTCAACGCTTGAGCCCCCATGACCCCACGACAGAGAGAGAGACCAGGAGCGCGAGGAGTCTGAGATCCGATCCGGCTGAGATTAGCCTGGCGCTGTCTGTGTCCTGGCTCTGGTCTGACCCGTCTGTGCTTCTCTCAGGCCCAGGGCAGGATCTACGGCAAGCTGAAGGAAGAGAATTTCTTTGGGCCCAAAGAGGAGGTGAAACTGGAGACGCACATCAAAGTAGCAGCTAGCGCCGCTGGCAGAGTGATTGGCAAAGGAGGCAAAACGGTAAGACAGGCAGGGGCCTGCGCGGGGGAGTGGGCGCAGTGTGGGGAGTCTGGGTACGGTGATCAGCCAGGGCGCACGCAGACGGCTGGGGCACCCGCAGGCTGATAACCTCAGGGCCCCCCCCCCCCCCCCCCAGGTGAACGAGCTGCAGAACCTGACGGCCGCAGAGGTGGTGGTCCCGCGAGACCAGACCCCGGATGAGAACGACCAGGTCATCGTCAAGATCATCGGCCACTTCTACGCCAGCCAGGTGAGGCCCTCAGAGTCACCTGACTCAGACCTCCAACGCACACTGGAACTTGGAAAACCCCCCAATTTACATCACAAAGTGTCCAGGTCTGCGCAGCGCCATGTTCTGCAATTCAGAATGAGGCGGCAGGACCTCTGGTGATGTGTTGCGGCCTTGTTACATTGTAAACAGGCGGGCTTGTGAAGACGTGTCTTTTAATCCAATAGAAATACTGCTCTCAACTTCAATACGGTTTTGCCGACAAATACAACTTACTTACAACTTAATACAACTCTGCACGCAGATCAGGTTGGCACATTTCTGCGGTGAAATGTTCTGCTGCACCACCTGTACTTACTCACTCGTACACCCCAGTACACAAGTCATCGCCGTGACTAGTGAGCAGGAGGGGACCGTCTCACGCCATAACTCTCGTGAGCTCTCAGTCTCGCCCATGTCAAGACCAGTGGTTTGCGACAACATGGCGACTTAACAGTACTTCCGGAAGTCCACAGTTTTGTGCTTGATTCCAAATCTGTGAAGTTTTTCTATAACGTCAATGAATTTATTTACCAAGACTTAATAATCCCCTTGAATGTACTGGCATTAGCTTTCTGAGGAATACTGCAATTTGTGCTCTTGTGCCAAATCGTTCCTGTTGCTCTGTGCGCAGAGCTCAAGCCCCGAGCGAAAAGGGTTTGATTGCTCTTGCCTGGCTCGGCGCTGTGCTCTGACGGCGGTGCTCTGTGTGCGTTTGTGTCCGTCAGCTGGCGCAGAGAAAGATCCGGGACATCCTGACGCAGGTGAAGCAACAGCAGCAGAAAGGGGGCCCGGGGGCACCTCAGGGGCCGCCCCAGCAGCCGCCAGCCGAGCAGGGGGCCCCCCAGGCACCGGCGCAGGGACCCCAGCCTTTCAGGAGGAAGTGAGCCGCCCGCGTGGACCGATCCGCGGGGAGGAGAGCAGCAGAGAGTGAGGAGCGCAGACCCAGCGGGAGACGGGAAGATGCATGTAACTAGAGAAACCGAGCGAGAGAGGGAAAATACGAAAAACGGAGAAAAAAAAGGAAAACAAAATGATAGAAAACAGAGACCAGATGCCAGGCCAGTGAGAGTGACTGGAAATGAATAGATGAGTGAAATGAGTACAAACAAGTTAGCGGTTAAGATGGGGAGAGGTTTGCTTGGCTGACCAGCGGAGTGAGGGAGTAGTTCTCCTGGTGCACATGCGCGCGGAAAGAACGCAGCGCAGCTCCAGCTCGGGCTGAGCCAGGGCAGGGCTGGCAGGCCGTGCCAGACGAGCAGGGCAGTGCAGAGGCCGCAAACAAAACACACAGGAAAAGAAATCAGGAAGGAAGCTCCTGCCTGCTGGAGTCTCCAGAATTAAAAGTAAAAAGCTATTGGTATTCATTTCCAGTCAGTCTTGTTATCAAGGGTGGTTTTTTAAAATAAATTTTATATAAAGAGAGGAAACTTATGGAACGCAGTGGAGGGAGCAGGGCAGGCGTTACATCCCCGAGGTCATAGGTCAGAGGTCACCGTGGCCTGGGTGCCCTCTGCCCGGTCCGGACCGTGTCACGTGACCAGTCCCTAGCGAATCAGAGACAGGGGGCATGGCCGTAGAGGTTAACACAGCTCCTTTCATTACCTGACAGAAGAACTGAAAAGAATTTTAAGAAAAAACTTAAGGTTGTAAATATAATCTTCATGAGAAAAGAAGATGCTCCATGCGATTGTTGGAAGCACATTTAAAGTTGCACAGGAAGGAGCTTCTCTGAACTAGTCCCTGGCTCTTATTTCTGTGTGACTTGAAGCAGGGAGCCCGAGCTCGGCCTCTGCAGAGTGGGTACAGTTCTGTACAGGTCCCAGGTGGCCTTGCAGTTGTATTGCAGGTGCCAGTTCTGTGAGTACTTTTTTAAAAATCAGCAATTTTGTTGATGTGTGACCTGTACACAAACGGCATATATTATATATATTATATATATTGTATATGAGTTAACCAGGTGCTGCCCCCTGGCTGTGACATTGGGAGGTACAGGCGGTGTCTTTTCTGAAGAACAGCGACTGCAGCTCAGAGGAGCAGTATCCCCAAACGCTGTGGCTCAGCCCGGACAGCATGGCCGCATTTAGAGGCTTCAGGGTGATGGCGGAGACTGGGTTTTGCTGGCTCAGCAAAACCTGGAAGCAGCTGGCCTTTACCCCCAGGGCAGCTGCACACAGGCCGTAGGGGCTGGGCTGGACAGGTCACGCACAGCGCGGGACTGGTGTTCCCCTCCGGGCACGCCGGCGCCCCCTGCCCTCACCCCCGTGCGCGGCTGGCGCTCATGCTGCTGCTGTCGGTGTCGGTGGGTGACCAGCTGGCCCCGCCACAGTCCGGCTGTCCTGACAGGCAGCAAGGGGCTGCAGCTGCCTGCCTCTAACGCAGAAATCAAGAAGGGGTGTGCAGGGTGATCTGTCCGTCTTCCTGTCTTCAGTGAATTACCAGAAGGCAAGAGCAAGTCCATAATGGAGGTCAAAGGAGAATATTCCCCACTGTGCAGGTTAACGCCTCCGCGTTTCTGGTTAGATGAAGAGATCGGGAGGCTGGGACCCTGAATAATTTGGGCATTGGTTCCTGTAGTCCTTTTGCTTCGTTTGGGGTTAAACACGTGAGCAGGCCACCCATCCCATTAATCCTGCCTGGTCTTTAGCAGCTGATTGATAATGGGGAACAACGGATCCAGTTGTTCGCTGAAGGAAGCCTGGGTATCGGCTTCAACGGTGTGGCAGTTTGTTCCACGCTCCCACACTCCTTTGTGTAAAGTAGTGCCTCCCGCTCTCGGCCTTAAACGCACTTCCACCTCTGCCTTCTTCAGACGGAGGCCCTCGGTAGTCTCCTCTGTGCAGTTTGGCCAGCTCTGCCAGCCTGTCGGCGCAGGGTGCTGCCCGGGCCCACAGCCGCCGTGGCGGTCCCAGAGCTGCTGAGCGCTTACCTGTCATGTGACCACACCTGGACGCCACACCGTAGCCCTGCTGGCTCCAGAAAGGCACCGCCGCGCGGCCCGGCTCTGGGTGGGTGGCCGGCTTTGGATTTCCTGTGAAGCTGAGGGGATGTGGGCGCCGCCGGCTCTGCCCCCCGGCCGCGCTGCCTCGCACGCTCCTGCCCGACAGCGCCCCCGAGAGGCAAGCAGGAACGTTGCGACAACGAGACTGAACAATCCTATACCTCAGGGTGTCGTTACCTCAGTGTTCGTTTCTGACTTTTTTTTTTTTTTGCTTGCTGGTGTTTTATATAAAGCTGATAGTCTTGAATATTTTATTTTTTTAAGAAAAAGAAGTATTTTTTGTTTTTTTTTGGGGGTGGGGGGGGAGGTGTTGTCATTGTTGCTTTGTTTTTTTTTTTTTGTGTGTACAAGTTCATCAGAATAAGCCAGTGGAGCAGAAGTGGAAAGGAAAATCAGTCCAGACTGGTACGAAACCGGGCGCTAATGTTAACGATTCCAGTTCAACGAACATCGTTCGGCATGGATTACTCACTTAAAATAATACACAGATATTTGAGGGCTTGCTGTAAGATTTGTGTTTTCCTCTGGCTTCTTCTGATGTGTTTGATTTGATTTTTAAAATCAATGTCTTTGTCAGCGGGGAAAATGGATGAAAGAGCTGCTGTCTTTCGGTGTTAATTAACACTGAGTCAATTAACCATTTAATGAATGCCTTCTACAGAGGCACTTCAGGAATTTCGGCGAACAGGAGAACATGTAGGATGAGCGTAACTTGCGGATATCTGCCAGATAAGTTGAATTAAGAGAAACGTCGCGACCCAACAGTTTGGACTGTGCCTAATAGAAACAGCACCTGCTGTGATGAAGTTGGTGTCGTCCCTCCAGCTCTCCTGCTCTTCAGATGCTGCAGCTGTGTTCAGGTGCTTGACAGCCTCAGCACTGTGAATAGAGAAGAGAAACAGCTTGTGGCCGGAGGACCTAAAGGGGGCTGATCCATTCCAGGCGATAAGGGGACTCAGTGGGCCACTGTCTTGTCCGTCTTGAGTCACCTTGGGTCACAGTACTGTCCATCTCTCCTTTGGGCCACGGTACTGGCCACCTCTAAATTGGGCCACTGTCCTGTCCACCTCTAAATTGGGCCACTGTCCTGTCCACCTCTAAATTGGGCCACAGTCCTGTCCACCTCTAAATTGGGCCACAGTCCTGTCCATCTCTCCATTGGGCCACAGAACTGTCCACCTCTAAATTGGGCCACAGAACTGTCCACCTCTCCTGCCTCGGTGAGAGTTTCCATGTCTGCACTGAGGTCAAGTCACCTGAAGGCTAGGGTGACCCTTACAGGTCAAAGTCTAAAGAAATATTTTTCGCATAGGTGCCGGCTGCCAGATCCCTTCATCTGTTCTCCCCTCCTGACGAGTTTTTGTTCTTTTTTTTTCCTGTAATGAATAAATCTTTTGAAGAAAGACAACAAGGGTAGGAGAAAAAAAAAAGTAGAAAGAGAAACTCTGGTCCCGGTTTAGTGCTAGTTTTTTATGTAAATGAAATCGAGCCGGGAGAGTGGGAGGGAGGAGGGAGGGGGGTCAAAATGGGAGCAAACTACAGAAATTTAAAGAAAAATAAATTAAATAGATTAAACCTGTATATAAAATGTAATGGAGCAGCTGAAAGAAGAAGAGAAGAAAAAAAAGTTTTGTATTTTTTAAATTAAAAAAATGGATAAAAAATGGAAAAAAAGGAAAGATACAAAGACCGACTGGTCTCGGAGTCCATCCGCTGCTTCACGGCTCCGACAGCTGCTGCCCCCGTGATCCACAGCTGATCTATCCCGGTTTGCGTCTCCACATTTTTCCCAGAGGGACAGTTTCTCCTTTTCCTTTGTGCTGGGTGTTACAGCCCAGGCGTCTGTATGTGGGCAAAACGTTGTTGCCCCATGTCTGCGTGAAGGGCGAGGCGCCCTGCTGTCTCTGTATGGCCCCGTATCCAGCTGTCGGGCAGAAACACAGCCCTGTCTGAGTGTGTGTCGCACACAGCCAAGGCAACAGGCACGACCCGCTTGTGTCGGCGCCAGTAAGGTGCCCACAGGTTCAAAACCGATCATGTAATTCTAAAAAAGCAAGCAGCCTGTTGTCGATGTTTGAGAATGCCATCTTGCACCACCAAACTGTGGTACAGGGGCGCCGGACAGACAAGGGGCTACAACCTTTTGCAAAAATACTGCCGCCTCCCCCTGTCCATGAATTTCAGTTCGGGCAGGACTTTGTACAGGCAGGTTTGGGTCGAAAACAAGTTCCCAGTTACAGCAGGGCGCTGGCTGAGATAAAAACAGGCAGTCAGCCTGGACACTTTCGGACTGGTTAACCAGTTAACCATCTAATTATGGTTAATGGTTAGCTCACCTCTGAAGGTACTGCACAGATGCTCGTCTAACCCAAAAAAGAGCTGGGCTGGATTCATGGTCTGCAAGTTTTTCTAAAAAAAAAAAGTTTTCTAAACCAGACCAAATGAAAACAACAATAATTGTACATGCTTTTTTGGCCAGTCTTACTGTTATTACATGTTTAAGAACATTTCTGTAGTGAAAGCTTATGCTGAGGTGCTTTGGTGCCTGTTTTGATGACGTGAAACTGCTGTCAGAAGTTGTGCAATTTGTATTCTGCAGAAATGGTGCTTGTTAGTCTCATATCTCTTAAAATCAGCAAAGTTCTCCAGAACCTGCCTGTATGAGCACTGCCTTTTCCCTGCAGGCAACCTGTATGATGTAAACTTTATAATCTGTGTGTCGAACAGAACAGTATGTTTTAGAAGAGTTTCTGTCCCTTGAAATCCATAGGGCTCTGTTCACAGACTCCAAGGCAAACTCATTTATTCAGACTGCGGCCTTTCTTTTT